CAAATAAACCACACTTGACAAATCTTTCAGAGCAGCAGTGAAATGCCCATCATATCATATTTCTAATGTTCAAATATGCTTAATTTTAAGTTTCACAAACAGAGTTGTCTTTTTATGTGAAGTCAGGTCTCTTTTGCCATTATGTTATAATCTTACCAACAACAGCAGTTTATAACCAAGATGTGTTTGAATGTCAGTTGTCATCTCAAAACATTGGTTGGGCCATGGAAAATAAAGATTAATTGCAGCCTTCTCTGATTCAATTGCATAATTCATATTTATGTAATTTTTTGAACAAGTGTATTTTTTCCCCACTTCTTTTTAATTATAAATAGGTTAAAGCAGCCAGTGCAGGAAGATAAAATATTTACTTATATTAAAGAAATAATCTGAAAAAAAGAGTGTATTCTCCTTTTGCATTCTTTTATAATTGGATATAACATATTCTATTACAACTAACTAAATAAATAAATAAAAAGGGGGGAAAAAGATGAATTTCAGAATCTTAATCAGACATTTTGTGCTTCAGTGGTAGTAGGCCTACGTGGTAAGTGGAATGGATGGACTTTTAATGGACAGACTTACATTATTATTCCATTATCTTTATATTGCAATCATTGTGAAAAGCGCTACAAAAATAAACATGAACTGAACTTAAAGTAAGGACATCTGACCATCTGTTTAAAGGAACATATTCACATATTCTAACATTTTGGTTAATGCTTAGGCTGAATTAGCAAGAGTGCCCAAGTGCTCAACTGCATTATTGCTAGTTTTCATGTGAGCAACTTTGTGTGTTTCTGCATAGATGTCTGTAATTGAGAGCTGTGAGTGTAACCTGAATAAGCAGTTCAAAATGGTATGTGTGTCGGAGTGTAAATCTCATTGGTTCATTAGGTCTAGCATTACTAGCGGCTATGATCCCAGCCTAGTACCCCAATATTTGTCTTTTTGGGTGAACTATCACTTTAAATATATCCTCTATACACTTTACATAGAAATTTGTAAGAGAAATGATCTGAGTTAAGTCACTATATTTATGTAAAACAACTTCTAAAAGGTATTCTGAGTTACGCTGTTTACAAATGCAGTTTTCAACAAATGGATTTTAAATGGACTTCAGCTCCTGTGAATATACTATACAGCAGAGGGTTGTGATCCATTGATTTAAAACCATCTAAAAATCATTTCATGGACTCAAGCACATCCATCATGTTGCTCTTGTAGCCAGCTGAACATTCAGAGGCTGTTCCTGAAGACACAATTACTACTATCCCAGATTCAACTGCACCAATCTAGATATGCACAACTTCATTACCTTTAGTTGAGTGAAGCAAGATTACACATACACAGGTTTGTAACAAAATAACAGTGCGAGTTTGATGCACTGAGTAATGTGAATTTAATTAGAATATTCTTAAACGTACTATTAATTCTTTTTGAAAAAGAAGCGCACAAGTGTATTCAGTGTGTATTCACTTCAAATTGTATCACATATTTTTTAGATGGACTTAAGTCCTACTTAAGTGGGTCAAAATCACTCATAAGTTAAACGAACTGAATTTAATATAAAATTAAACTATTATAAATTTCCTTTTAATTGCAATTAGTATGCAACTAATACTCAAGCATAGCTGTTATGTCTGGAAAAGAGTGGATGAAAAAGGCAACAGATATCTTTGTTCGATAATGCTTAGAAACTTAATTATCGAACTTAAGTAGAAATGTAATCAAGATCCAACTGTAAAAGTATTTTATATAATTTTTATTTAATCAATACTTTTGTTGACATTAGCATTTGTCACAATTTTACCCAAGATAAAAAAAATCCAGCCCTGTATAAGTATTTAATATATTTACCACAGAAAATAATAGACTAATTTGTACCTGAAAAAAATACATATCTGTTACAGTATCACACCTAATTCTGATGGAAATCCTTCTATAATATAGACCTGATCCACCATAACAGAGCGAAACAAAGTAAGGAGACACAAAAATCATTAAATGCAAAGCATATTTTAGTTTAGTAATTTTATTAAGCATTTACACAGAGAATTATTCTGGTATACAACTGAAGAAAATGTAGCCCTATTTATTATTACACAAGGAAACATTAACCAGATAGATGTTTACTCGTACAAAACACTAGATAATGCAAATAAGAAAGCTTATCAATCAGCAGTGTATAGGCGATACGCGGTGGATGAGGGTTGGAGGTCACTGGCGGGGACCGATGTTCCTCTGGGGTCCCGGCTGTGGGCCGGTCTGCTGCTGCTGTAACTGATGGCGCAGCTGCTGGGAATAAGGGTCTTCCAGAGACTTGACTGATACGGTGGTTTTCGGTCCCGTCTTCCATTCGATCCCACTGGTATCTACAACCGAGGCTTCAACAGAGACGACGTGAGTGCCCAGGATGGAGAAGTTGAGCAGGAACTGTGTGCTGAAGTAATCATTATGAGGCTCCACCTTCTGCTCAATCTCATTGGTCTTGGAATCAAGAGGAATCTAAACAAAAATTGCAAAAAGGACACAAATGAATCCTTCATTACTGCTGGAAAAATATCACTGGGTGATCAACAATGTGAGTAAAATGTTTTGGATTCTGGGTTGAACTGACCTTGAAGTCGGATCCTGGTTTTGTCTGTAAAGTAGAGCTGACTTTGAGGCAGACGGCCTGAATCTTGCGGAACATGCCTGGAGAGGAACCGTGCTGCACCACCCCCTCCACCTTTAAAGTCAGCTGCTGGTTGTTCTGTACTGGGATTGGCTCGTTTGGTGTACGAGGAGATGGAGAGAAAGCAAGCTGAAACAAACAACATTTAAAATGTTATATATATATATAAGTCGTGGCCAAAAGTTTTGGCAGTGACATAAATTGTGTTTTGCAAAGTTTTCTGCTTAAGTTGTTGTGGTGTTGTAATTGCTAAAAGCTTCATTGGCCAAAAAAAACAAAACAAATTTCACTGTTTTTTGATCCTGACACAAAATGACCAGCTAACATTAATTGACTAATCATATCAGCAGCACATGTGAAAGTGTGAATGAGTACTAGTCAGGTAAAATCACTAGCATACTAATTAGATTGTAAGAGCAGACTGAGACCATGTCCACATGTACACGGGTAAGTTTTTCTTTCTTCCGTTTAAAAAAAAAAATCTCCGTCCACATGAAAACGCAAACGCATGCTATGAAGCACTGTCAAGAGCATGCCAAACCAACAGGTGGCGATATAATCTCAACCGTAAAGCCATGTTGGCCAATCAGAAACCTGAAAAAGTTTCCAATAGGCGGAGATAACAGCACAGGCTTCAACATCACAAGTCAAAAACCAACCGGTTTCGCTGTCTACACGACAACACTGCAACCGGAGTTTTTGAAAATCTTCACCCTGGCAGGCGTTTTCAAAAATGTTCGGTTTCAGTAACCTGGTGCTGCGTTTGCGTGTGGACGAATGGCCAAACCGCGTAGAAAAAGCTGCGGTTTTAAAAATAACCGCGTTCGAGTTGACAGGGCCTGAAGGAGGGAAGAAGCTCTTCCAATCATTGGGTTCATGTTAGCAATGGTTACCTCCAAAGAAACACGTGCAGCCATCATTGCTTTGCATCAAAATGGATCATGCTAAACCATACTGCGTTCCTAGACATTGTTCGAATTAATTAAAAAAATGTTACCGGCCAACTGGCGAGTAACACGGTTTCATATACTCGCCAACGCTGATTTTTACACACATTTGAAGCTTGGCGAGTATTCATTTTAGGCCTTTTTTTCAAAAAAAAACAAAAAACAAAAAATAAAAAATTCCCAATTTTATTACTGTTAAAGTACCTATTTTCATTTTTTTTTTAAATAATTTATGTTTATTAATTAATATTTTCATTTATATATTTTTTTAGCATTATACAGAGTACTTACTTTAATGCTGGTGGACTGAAGCTTCTGGAAGAAATATCTCTGGAATGACAGTGGTACCTTCAAAATGGCTATGACAGCATCACACAGACAGCCAGTGTGCTTGAAACAGATAAAAAGACACATTTACAAAAAGCAAGAAACAGAAAAAAGAAAGTGAAAACATGCCTATAAAAAGTGAATCCAAACGGATTGCAGACAGGAACACTCTGCCAATGGAAACACTTCAACATTACCAGGTAAGAGACAGGAGGGTGCTTCCTGCTTAAGTTTTCCACTTCCTCCAGGACGTGATTGAACACAGCCAGCATTTTCAGTTCATACTCGCTCTCTGCCAGTACTGATCCGTGTGTGCCGAACTCCTGGAAACTGAACCAGAGAAACCGCATGGATGCCATTACAATGTGCCAATGAAATATTCAAACTAAAATCTATTAAATAATCATATTATGAGTCTTCGTGTTGGTGTTGTGTGTAATAATCTTCCAAATGTATTGTTGTAATCCCACATTGAATATTTGAAGCATATGTATTAAGTTATGGTTCACATTACTGATTCACGATTTAATCTAGAATGATTCATTCATCTGGTCAGTAAAACATATCAGAAAAAAGTTGGGAAAACTCTCATAGCTGCATGAGTGGTAAATGTTAAGAGTTGGATTATTCTTACCTGGCCGTTTGCGGATCAATTATTAAAGCCTCAATAACATAAGACACAAGCAAGCAGCTTTGCTGTTGCCTGAGAAAAGTTTTAAGGAAAGTACAGATTATCTCAGGATGACGTCTTCATTCAAATTCCATATTTAGTTTGAAACAACAGCTGAAAAAGTAAAAAGTGTTACTTTTGGAAAAGTATAAACCAAATAACTAATGTAAACAAATCTGTGACACTGACCATGCAAATTTATTTTGTAGAAAATTAGTCAAACTTTTTAAAAATTAGTTAGGGTTAGTATATATGTATTTTAAATTTAATATAATTAATAATGGAAATTATAATTTTAATAAAATTAAATTGCCAAAATTCCGATTTTTCTTATACGCTCATAGTATGCATTTATTTGACCACAAATGCAGTAAAAACAAGAATATTGTGAATTGTTAAATTTTTTAAAAACAAAAAAACATTTAAAAAATAAATAAATGTGTATATATACACACACACACAAAAACACTAAAAAAACGTAAATTATTTCAAACTTTTAACTGCTAATGTATATTATCATAATTCAATGAAAAGGTTTGTTAAATCAATACAAATGATTGTATAATATTAATACTACTTCATAATTCTAGAAAATTTATAAATTAAAATAGAAAAATATTATGCTCTGCAGCATTTTTGACAATGATTAGCAATAAGAACTTTTATAAAGAAAAAAAAAAAGTAAATATTTTTGCACACAGATTGTCCTCAAAGAAAAACAAAGGATACAGTTCAACATTACGGAGGGTGGCGTAGTCGGCATCAAACGAAGACTGATACAGGTCGGCATAGCGAGCTGCCAGACTTCTAAATTCATCCATGGATAACTTCATCTAAGTACATCCAACAAAACAAAAAAACACACACAATAAATATGCCATCCTCAAAAGAAAATTCTAGAAATAATTTAGACCACATAATGAGGCAAGTGCAGAAACATTAACACACAAAATATGCAGGAGATGTCTGTGTGTTTTGAGCACCTGTGATGAAATGCGGCCGCAGCGCTGCAGCTCGCTGCCTGAGGACAGAGCGATGGTTGTGGCGATGGCAGGAGGGGGGCTGGTCTTCAGACTGTTGCAGGTGCAGATGAGCTGGGACAGGGCCTGAAGAGTGTCTATACGCAGCTTCACAAACTCACACTGGAATGACAAAGGACTCAGCGGCGTACTGGCGGCCTGAAGGCGAAACAGGATTACAGTCAGTCACAAAAAAGTCTTCTGTGCTTCAATATGAATACAACAACAGAGGAACCAAAAAAAGCAGCCGGTAATAGACAGCATGCAAAAAAGCAAAAAGAGCATGACTGGCGAATCCTGACCGTGAGAGAAGCAATTCCCTTCTGGTAGGATTTGAGTGCTTCAGAAATGGCGCTCATGGCTGCGCTGTAGTCTCCATCTGAAAGGCCGCTGAGACACTGCTCCGCCTGAGAGAACTCCATCAGACTGTTCAGCCAGAAGTAGAAGTGCTCGGAGGCCACGCGGGTACGAAGGCTCTGGTACAACTCCCGAGAAAAATCATGGCAGCCCTGTGGACAAATTACAAATTGAGAGCATTGGAAAGGAGTTATTTTACATTGTATTCAGCTACTAGTGTAAGTACATAGACAAAACTGTCTGGGTAAATGTCACATACATACATTATTTATATATATATATATATATATATATACACACACACTGTATATAAACAGTTTTTGTAAGATTAACGGGAAAAAAAAATATATATACTGTATATGTGTGTGTGTAATACATTATACATCAAGTATAATATTAAAAAAAAAGTGAATTGAGGCTTGATTTCATTACAATAATGCAAAAATCAGAAGCCTACAATAACGTGAAAAAAATATTATCAAGTAGTACATAGTAAGTGCATCCTGAAATGCAAAAAAACAAACAAAAAAAAAAAATGTATGGTTCACTGTGGTTGACCAATTCAAAGTAATATGAGTTTGTTAAGCAAGATGAATTATAGTAATTATACAAATTACATAAACAATGGAATTACATAAATTAAACAAAAAAAAATTGTCTGTAAATGTTAAAATGAGAGATATGATATATGGGTAGGAAAAAAAAGAAAAGAAGGAAAAGTCCATTCACCTTTTTTTTTTCATCAAGATTTTAGGTTAATATAATTATTTGTAAAAGAAAATATTACAGGCTTTTCCTCATTTTAAAAAGCACCTTTTAACATTTTGGCAGTTCACAAGAGTCCAGTGTGGCAAACCAGTTTTTTTTTAGATATGTTTTTGGCATTTTAGCCTTTATTTAGATAGGACAGTGTAGTGACAGGAAGTGAAGTGGGAGAGAAAGAGAGAGATGGGGGGGCGGGATCAGGTCCATGAGTTGGGATTCGAACTCGGGACACCCGTAGCACAGCGGCACTATTTGACAGGCTATCAGTGCCGACGCAAACCAGTTTTAAAAGTACAAACATTCCATGTAGTCTATAAATGATTATGATCATAAAAACTCCATGTATACAAGACTAGAAAAAATTACAGAACTTTTAGATGTGCTGCATGTCACACTACAGAACGTTGTTGTTAAAGCTGGAACTCTCATTTAAAGACATGAAAGAACATAAAAGATTTTTTGAGAGTGTTTTGTCCATACATTGGAAGTCAATGGTAACCAAAACAGTCTGGTTATCAAAATTCTTAAAAATCTGTTCTTTTTTGGGTGATCTCTCTCTTTAACATTTATATCTGAACCCACTTTAGGCTCCTGATTTTTAAGGGACATCAGGCAATGGAGTCAGAAAGGTCTTCCTTCTCCCTCATAGCCCAGCTCACCATGCGGGAGGCCTGTCTGGCAATGCGGTACACGGTCCACCCATTGGCCACATTCTCCAACTGCTGCCTGATCACCGTCTTTACCTCGGCCGAGAGTGAAGCCTGACTGGCCACGAATAATACTGTTGCCAAGGAAACCTAAGAAAAGCAAAAAGACAAACTTTGACTGTTTTGGGAAAATGAGACTTAAACGGCTACGGTTGGACATCATTTCTGTATTTGCTTACCAGAAGCTCCTGCTGTTTCTCTGAGGTTCTGTGACTTGCCACCCTGAAGAGGTCCAGCAGGTCTCCCAGCATTCCCTCTGCCAGCACCGGCTGCTGTGTGGCAATAGCAGCCAGAGCCTGACACATGAGCACCCGCGCAGAGTCACACGCGCAGTGCAGCTGCGCCAGCAGGAGCTCCACAGAACTCTGACTGAGATGAGGACAGCTCTTCAACATCTTCACCAAAGAGGTGAGCACTGTCTGAGTTAAAAAAAAAAAGAGTTAACAATTCAAGACTAAAAAAAATGAAAACTCATCATGTCATCATATGACAAACAGTTGATGGTCCCCGCTGACTTCCATAGTATAAAAGAAAAAAAAATTCTATGGAAATAAATGGGGACCATCAACTTTTGCTTGGTTACTCACATACTTCAAAAGATCTCCTTTTAGGGTTCAACTAAAGAAAGAAACTCACTCATACAAGTTTGGAACAACTTGAGGGTGAGTAAATTATGACAATTTACATTTTTGGGCGAACTATCACTTTAAAAATGCTCAGCATAAACTGAAGTGAAGAAGCATGGTGGACTTGATGTACCTTTGTTTACACATGTCCACAAGAACGTAGGGTGTCTCACGTATCATTTTATGGTAAAAGTGTGCTCACAAGCAGACCCTTTGTTCCATTCACTGGTGCGGACTTCTAAAGTCTAAAGTTATGTTTACATTAGATTAAAAAGTTCAGCTGTCTATTTTCAATAGTGTAGCAATGAATGAAGCACAGCTCAAATAGAGTTCACTTTCAAACCAAACTGCTTTCTGTTTGTCAACGTTGAAATGACTGAATGACATTCTTTCTTTGTATATCACAATATCTTACCTCAGAAAACAAAGTGGAACCTACTTACTTCTGTGAAATAACCAGTACTCTTTACTTTACAACTGGCAAAAATTTGAGTGAGTACCAGCTGTCCCACTTTAAGGTGAATTCATATTTTCATTCGGCCCGCCTGTCATCTTTTTCGCATTGGTCTGGACAGACAAATTGCGTACCAAAAACGGACTACATATTTGTGACGAATATTTGTGCAAAAAAGCCTTAAAGGTGCAATCACATTTTCCACTGCTCAACAAAATTTGACATTTCAATAGGAATTTGCTCGATTGGTCATTTTGCGAAAATGTCACGAAGAAGTATCCTTAAGTGTCCGGTTCTACGCCTGAATAAGTTGCAGCATGAATCTGGCTCAGTGAGTCTACTGAAACATGGACTCAGACCATCGCAAGGGCTGAAGGAGCCAGCTGGGTCAAGTCACATATACGTAGGGCTGGGTATCGTTCAAAAATGTTCGATATCGATACCTTGACTTCGATACCGGTTCCTGAACGATACTTTTTTTCGATACCAATTTTATGAAATCAATTTTAACAAGATTACATTATTTAAAAAAAAAAAAAAAAACTTTGGTTTTATTTTTCAGCTTGTTGATGCTTTTACAAACTCAAAGACTCATCTCATGGGCCACTGCACAAAAGGAACAACATTTATTTTCCACTGATTTACTGATGCGCATTAGTAGCTTCCAACGCTGTCTGCCTGTGCTCTCTCTTCCATGATCGCTGACTCAGAATCAGAGGTAATAACATATTTAATTTCAGCAACATTACATGGCCAAACACACATTAGACGGCAATCGGAAGTTATTACAAACACTCGAAGGTGGTTTAAAGTGAGTTTTGAGTAAAAGCGAAATATAAATCTTATTTATTGTCTTATGTAGCATGATGCTGCAGTTTGCATGAATGGTTTCATAACACGCGCTTTCGGTCGTGTAGTATGAACGGACATCTGCATATGATCGGAACTCCACGCAGCTCCCGCGCTACTCTCCATTGGAAATTAATGACCGAATGACCGGTCTGTCGCTTGTCGGAGATAGTAGAAAGCTGGCTTGAAACGCAGTGGAAACGCCAGTATGACAAGGATCGTTTTCATTTTAAAACATAAACGCACCAGTGTAAATGTAGCCTTACATCTAAGGGGGCTAGGACGCAGTTACACTACAGCCTCACGTGTGCGCCACATCTCTGAGTGTAACCAGTGTAAACTAGTAGGTGTGTTCGACTTGACACGGCTTGACTGTGCAGACCGAACGGTGTATTACAGTACCACGAGGGTTAAAGAGAGCAGACTGCTCCATGCGCTTTCGAATCGCTCTCGCGGATGTCAAACACCGATCGATCTTCGCCGCACCTCTTCTAGTCAAACACACCGGCTAGTGCTGCAGGCTTATTGGCTCACTGACACTGATGAGATTAACCCTTTAGGTGTCGAAATTTGGTACCGAACGACGAGACATTTTTCGATACTCGATGGTATCGAGGCATTTCGGTCGGTGCCTAAAAAGTATTGAACTCGATACCCAGCCCTACATATACGAAGCTCTGTAAACCTCGAATAACACTCACTTTAAGTGTGTCCTGCGCAGTCTTACTGTCATCTTGACTGCAGAGCAGAATGAGAGACTCCATCCCCATCACTGTTTCTTGTTCCAGCTGGATGACTTCTGAAATTAGGTTGTCATTTAAATGTTCTCTATTTTTGACCTCCGTTGGGTCTATACAACCCAAATTATATAAGCCTACACATCTTTGGTGAGGAGAAACCAACCTTTCTCTGGACAGGAAATGGCGATACTGGTCAACACTGTGATTCCATGGGCTGCCACTGCCAGGTTACTATGGTAACAGCACTCCTGTGCCAGCTTCACCAGGTCAGTGTGATGGGGCGCTGGAGACGCCTCACCTGCATCATCCAGAGAGATCAGGCAGTTAAACTCGCATGCGAAATGTAACAAGACCACATAAAAATAATCTGTATTCACTCGCATATATGCATTTTTAGTAGTCAACGTGACTTCATGATTTTGTACCTGTATTAGGGCTGAAGTACTGTTTAATAGCAATGGTACCGGATAGCGTGGAGAGGACAGACAGCATTCCCAGCTTGAGACTGTTGTACGGGGTGCTGAGAGCACATTCGCATAGCACCTACAAACACACAACTCGGAAATTACATACATTTGCAGTAGTAAGAAGTGAACCAGCTGTTTCACAAATATCCATGTCTGACCTGTATGTTCTTCCTGGTCCACAAATGAGGAGCTTTTTTAGCCAAGAGCTTGAGATCCTGAATGGCGAGTCTTTTCACTGCTTTTCTGGGATCCTCCTTCAAGTACTGGAGAAGCAGATGGATCTACAAGACAAAAATGAAAACAATAATACAACATACAATTGCACAAAAGGCTGCAAACGAACAGCGCACATCTGAAGTGTCTCTGAAGGAAATAATGCATTATTTATCGGCTTTAAGATATCGGCAACATTTTCTTATCGGGCCGATACCGATAACAGAAAAAATGAGCATTTATCGGCCGATACCGATATGGTGGCCGATATATCGTGCATCCCTAATTTCGACAATATATTAAAATTATAACTATGGTTACAAAGTTGTTACCAGTTATCTATGCCAGCAGTCCTTCAATTTTTTTATATTTTCTAAATGTTTTGTATTTCCACCCTTTTTAACAGCAACTAATATATAATATAGTAAGAGTTATAATTCCTCACTCTTAAAAGAGCTACTTCCCAGACCTTTTACCATTTCTGATGATATGTTCAGTTCATTTACTCAAAATAAATAAATTAATGAATAAATAACAATTAAAAATAAATAAATAAATAAATACAATTATCTGGGTGGTATATTGTTGATAAATTATATTGTTTAATATATTTATCGTATCCATTATTCTGTCCAGGCTTGTTCATACTAAGAATGACAACTATAAAGATAACTACAACAATAACCATATTAGCATCCACACCAGTGCACAAAAACATTCTGTCTATCAGTACAGCTGTCATAGTGTACACTTACTTGGAGTGTGATGAGAAACTAGCAGCAGCAAAAATAGCCGCCTCTACTTCAACATTATCATGAGAGTCCAGACTTTGCCGGATGCTGTGATGGGCATTTTTTCTCTCTGGAATAATGGAGGCTAAGCTTCCCAACATCCTGCCAAAATGCACAAAAACATATATGCTGACAATGTGTATGATCACATTATTATTCCTGAGCATATTCTAGTGTGGTCTTTGACATAATAATTGAAAACATCATCTAAATAAAATATTAGTAAGAAGCTGAAAAGAAACGTATGACCAGGGCCGTTTCTAGGCATAGGCGAGCTAGGCGGTCGCCACCAGCTGAAGGGGCGCCAATGAGCGCACGTACTGGCACTTTTAGCAGGGTTGTGATAAAGAGTGGCACGGTCACCCTGAAATATGACTTCCGCCCCCACTGGATCCCCCAACATTATTGGGCTAGAGTACTGTCAATCTGACGATGCCTGTATGCCACTAGATCAGAGCGCTGTCAATTGCTGCCTGATTGTTGCATGCAAAGTTTGCATTTGGAGCGCTCAACAACGCCGTTAGATCAAGGGGCTCTGTCAGTGCTTTGGCAAGGTAACACATTTTTTTTGCCATGCAATAAAGCTAAGTTCAAAGGCCAATTTAAAATATTGGTACAGTAAATAAAGTGCACAAAATCAGTATTTTGTTTAGGCAGTATTTGTGGCAGATTTGTCCAAAAGGCGTGCGTTTTTTTGCGCCAATGCATTGTTAAAGGATCAGCATGTCATGTAATATTCCCATATAAACTTTAACATCCAATTAAAAAATATTTGAAGAGAAAAATTCGCTAATTCACGAAATCAATACATCCTTTATTAGACCGCTTTGTCGAGTTAAATGCATCCTTACGGAGGTGTCGAAATGCTGAATCAATTCATTCACTTCCAACAGCGCTTAATGGGAGCAGCGTCATAGAGGGCAGAGCGTCACGTTATTTAAAGGGGACGTTAACGCGTTAACGAGTAGCAAATGATTAAGTAGCTGCATTGGTTACTTTTATGCCACTGATAAAGCTTTTACATGTAGTTTGGGGTAACAAAGGGGTTTTATAGGTTTGACTGAAATAATAACGCAATAACTGACACTTTAAATCAATTTTTCAAGAAACAACAAAAAAATTGTTACAGATGTTTTGTTTGGATTTTTCACTTTTGAGAAGCAAAACGAAAACGGTTACATTTTTTTGCGACCCAATTATTTTTCTTGCAAAATGTTTTATTCACAAATGCAAGATTATGAAAGTTACCTCACTTTCAAGAAGATATTAAGATCTATATTAAATCCTAGTCTACCTCCTGTAACAAAAAAGCAACTAAAACTTTGAATGTATGCTCACTTTTTATTTTTGGTATTTTTGTATAATTTTTATGTTTTGTAGGGAAGATTGTTACGTTTATTGTTATGTGAGCTGTTTAATTTTTCCCCCCCGTTTATTTATTTATTTTTAATGTAATTGTTTTTTGTTGTTGTTCTCTCTCTCTCTCTCTCTCTCCTGAATTTTAATTGCTGTATTGTTTAGCCATCCTTGAACCCCTGGCTCTTTTCCTTGGCATATGTTTTTCTTCTTCTTCTTCTTCTTCTTCTTCTTCACTTTTGTATTCCCCAAGCAAGTGTTTAATAAAAAAATAAAAATAAAAAAGGTATACTGTTAAAGCTGCCTTCCCGGGCCACAGAGTGCCTCTAGTGTTACGCTGCCTGCATAGTTTCCATAGAAGCAGCTGTAAACCGGCAGCCATTCCACTCTCTGCGGCTCAACACTTCCGGTATTCTGACGTATTGACCAATCAGAACAGCGAACGGCCATCTCGCGCGGAATTCGTCTTCGCCGCTTTTTCGTTGTTCGCGGGAAACTGGCCACTTCTGAGTGAAACCGCTATCCAGCAGGAGCTATGACTCTTTTTCACCGTGTTGTTGATCGGGGAGCTATAAAAAGAAGATGGAATGGTGAGTAGAATTAAGATATGTTGATGGAAAGCTATGTTATTGGACTTTTTTGTCACGCGAAGTCCTTTAATGAACAGGTCAGCGTCGGGACTATCCGCTGTCCTCTCTGCTGGACGGATACCAGTGCGCTCGAGGGGATGAACACAGTTCATACGGGGCCTCAGCTGCTGCTGTGCCGCCGTTTGGATGCACATTTTCCTCTGGTACTCATTTAAGTTCTAATGTACTCAGTAACCTAGAACCCCAAGACCGCGTAAAGCCGAATAAGTTACTTAGTGGTGTTTTATTTGTTGTTCAGGCCCTGGCCAACAGAACAGCCTTGCTGTTGCAAATGAAGAAGGGTTTGTGACCATCTTCAATACTGGAGAAAAACAGAGTTCTGTCCTGAAAGGTTGGTTCATGTTTACCTAGATTCAAGAGTGATTTTTGTAGGATGCTTATTGTTTTTGTGAAACTGATTCATGTGTGTTGAACTTGTTTTGCAGAGTGGCAGGCACACGATAATGCAGTTTTTGATATTGCCTGGGTTCCTGGTGCAAACAGCTTGGTGAGTTTTGCACAGTTCTTATATTTAGATATACCCTTATATATCATAGGTCTACAGACCTGCTCCTGGGGACCCCCCTGTCCTGCAAAGTTTGGCCTATGACTTTCCAAGTGGTCCTGGAGACCTTGATTAGTTGGTTCAGGTGTGTTTGATTAGGGTTGGAGTTCTGCAGGAAAGTGGGTGCCCAGGAGCAGGGCTGATATATTTTTATAAAAAAATGGAAATATTCATTTACAGGTAACAGCGTCTGGTGACCAAACGGCCCGTCTGTGGGATGTTGTTACTGGTGACCTGCTGGGAACATTTAAAGGACATCAGTGCAGCCTTAAATCTGTAGCTTTTTCCAAGCAAGAGAGAGGTAAGTCTACTGATCACATACGGCTTACAACTCTGATACTCTCTTAATGTGTGCAGTGTATATACTGTATATATTATGCATGAAATGTGTGAGTGGCTTACTATTGTTATGTGCGGTACACTGATACGCTGATAATGTGATGCACTCAATTTCTCCTTCCATTTCCCGTGTGACACATTAACAAGATCTAATCAATATTTTAAAAAGCACGTAGATTTACAGAAACTTGGAATAAAATTACAAAATAAATATTTGCGTGACTACTGAATTAAGACTGCAGTGTAATAAGATGCTACGTCAGTATAATTGAATTGATAAGTTGATATAAATATTAGATGAAACATGCGAACTGAAAAAAAAAAAACCCTTGAAAGAAGATTCAAATATTGATTTGACAACTAACTGAATAAGTCGAAGTACTAAAATTACTAATAATAAATAAATGAGGCTTAATAGAAGTATTACAGTATTTGTACAGTGTTTTTTTTATTAAATAAAATGTACTGGTGGCCTGTTTTTAAACTGTTTGTTCTGTCAATACAGCTGTTTTTAGCACTGGAGGCAGAGATGGGAACATAATGATTTGGGATACAAGATGCAGTAAAAGAGGTTCTTGATTATTCTTACCACCAAATCTTAAACGTATGGCCATCAAAATGATTTCTAAAACTCACTGAAATGTTTTCATCCATCACAGATGGCTTCTACAGGCAAGTCAAACAGATCACGGGTGCCCATATGAAACCTGAAAAATACACCCCTCAAATAAAGAAGAGACGTGGGATGGCGCCCCCTGTGGTGAGTCGAACATTTCATTGCGAGGAAACGTTCATTTGTTTGGACGATATATTGCGGCGTGGTACAGCCTTGATATATTGTAGGAATGCTCCTTGATTTAGCTTTTTCATTAAACAAAATAGAAACTATGGAAGTTCTTTTTTTGTTTTTATACTATTTCAGCGATTTTTTTCTCTCTTTTTAGGACTCCCAGCAGGGTGTGACAGTGGTTTTGTTCTGCGACGAGAGCAAACTCATCTCTTCAGGAGCAGTAGATGGGTGAGTGCATAATGGATTGATGTACAGATATCTTTTCTAAATAATATATGCTGTTACCACCAGTGTTGGGGGTAATATATTACAAGTAACGCAAGTTACGTAATCAGATTACTTTTTTCAAGTAACTAGTAAAGTAACGCATTACTTTTTAATTTACAAGAGAATATCCGAGTTACTTTTTCAAATAAGTAACGCAAGTTACTTTTTTTCTCCAATTTATTGACTGGCAGCGCTCCTGTCCCCATGTTGAGAGAAATCAGAAGAAGTTACTGTAGTCCTAAAATAAATATGAATAGGCATTAATGCATCTCCCTCACAAAAAAAAAAAACAGATTCAGTATTCCTCAAAATGAATACAAATAATGCAACTCAGAATATGACGCAAACCTGCAATAATTAAATGTTAAACAACACAAATATGCTTTATGTATTTAATCCCATTCTATTAACCAATGTCTTTGCTTCTGACCTTCGATGATCCAGTTCAAGCGTACTAATAAGCACAAATTACTCTAGACAAACATTTGTGTCTTTGTTTATTGCTGAAGTGTGTTGAAATGTCTTCTTCTGCATTCTACTGTACAGACGTAACTTTACTTTCCCTTCAGCCTGAGACTTATTCATTTAACTTTTGGTGTGAAAAGGCTTTTATATTTGCCAAAAATAGAACTTTTTTATTTTAAAAACAAAGCAAGCCCTGTCCAGATTTAAAAAGTAACGCAAAAGTAACGTAACGCATTACTTTCCATAAAAAGTAACGAAGTAACGTAATTAGTTAAATTTTTTATGGAGTAACGCAATATTGTAACGCATTACTCTTAAAAGTAACTTTCCCCAACACTGGTTACCACATTCTGTCACACTTGTCAACCTGATGATTGCTGATGTCCTAAGAGAAAGTTTTCCCATAACTCCTCATAGGATCATTAAAATGTGGGATTTGCGGAAGAACTACACTGCATACCACCCCAACCCCCTCCCTCTACAGGTCTATCCTTACCCAGGCTCCTGCACACGCAAACTAGGTGCACATCTCACGCACACCCTGTCGTTAGACCAATAGTAATGTGCATTAGTAATTAGTGTTAATTCTCACTGTGATGTTTTCCCCTGTAGGTTATTCTGGTCTGTCACTGGACTCCACTGGCTCCAGACTGTTCTCCAACTGCACAGATGACAATATCTACATGTTCA